TACAGCAAGTAACACAAATAAATCATCCTCAGTAGCAGCAGGAGCAAAAACAGTAGTGAGCAGAAGTGCCACACTGCCCCGACCCGTTCGTCGGGTTATACAAAATTTCTTCTCGTCTGGTTGGATGCAAATATTGATGAGACGAAAGAAGGTTTCAAAAATTCATTGCAACATCTTCGAAAACTTGTGGCATCCATCACAACGTTTAAGGATCCTCAACAATGTGTTAATTTCCTTAGTGAACTTAAAAAAGAAAAGATATTTTTCATTGTATCTGGTGCATTAGGACGACAAATAGGACCAGAAATTCAAGCAATGCCACAGTTAGAAACAAGATATGTTTTCTGTGACAATGAATCATATCCTGAAGAATGGACTAAAACTGTATCAAAGGTCAAAGGAGTTTATACTGATATTAAATCAATTTGTCAAACACTAGAAATCGATCGAGAACGATGTGATCGGGCTATGATTTCGATTCGCTTTAAGGGTCTCGATCCTCTGTTCATGTATACACAATTGTTAAAAGAAACACTTTTAGAAATCGAAGATGATTATAGACAATCTATCAAAGACCTGGCTGAATATTGTCGTGAACAGGATGATATTCCTGAAGATCAAATTAAACAAGTCGAAAATGAATATCGTAATCATACACCAATATGGTGGTATACAGCTGAAACATTTATTTATTCGATGCTTAATCGTGGACTTCGACAAATGGATGTCAATATAATGTTTAGGATGGGTTTCTTCATTCGTCATCTACATAATCATATCGTACAACTCCATCGCGAACAACAAGGCACCAAGCCAATAAAATTTCAAGTCTTTCATGCACAAGGTTTGTCCAATGAAGACTTTGAAAAGATGAAAAAAACCAAAGGAGGTCTTATGTCCTTCAACAATTTTCTGTTGACAAGTCGTGATCGTAAGACTTCGCTAGAAAACTTTGCACGGCCAGCCACACGTAATCCCACTTCAGTTGGTATCCTTCTTGTTATGACCATTGATACGGCTATTTGTACAAAATTATCGACACCA